AGGTGTTTAATGGGAAAGGTGTCATGCAAGCACTAGAGAAGGCAGCCAGAGTGGCACCTTCTGGCCTCCTTTACATCCATCCAGACATTCCTCTACTCATTCTGGCATGAAGACAAGACTGTCAGAAGAGTTGGCTCTCTTAGCTCCCCTAGATATGGTATATCTATTCATGTATTTCATGAGCCTCAACTCTTCCCACTTAGAGGAGGGAGAGAGGAGAAATCACTTAAGAACTGGGACAAGGGAGCTGAAGAGATGGCTCAGAAGTTAAGAGCACCTGTTGCTCTCCAGAGGAGCTAGGCTGGAGTCAGTGCACCCACATGGCAGCTCACAAGGGTCTGCAAGTGCAGTTACAGAGAATCTGACATCCTCTTCTGGTCTCTGAGGACACCAGGAATGCATGTGGTGCACAAGCTTACATATAGGCAAATCATCCACGCTCACACCAGAAGGAAGAAGGAGACAGCGAGGGAGAATGACTGGGACGGGAGTCCTTGAGCTCTGCGATTTGGGCTGCACTGGTTCCATGTTGGGGACCCAGAGAAGCTTGGTAATTTTCATGTTGAAGAAAGGGAAGCAGGCAGGTGCCGGTCTCGGGGTCTTCACCCACAGCTAAGAGAAGAGGCAAGAATCACATAGATGGGCCAACACCATCTTGCCCTTTCCCCTAGACATGATCTTGTCCTCTTAATGAGGCCTCACAGCCTGTGAAGCAGGTATTTTTTCCACATTGGGAAATACAATAATGTCAGGAGACTTATGCCAAAACATGTCATCAAACCCAGGCCTGGTTCAGGCTGCTTCACTTGCCTGAGTCTTTTCTGATCCCCTAGTCTGCTCTAAGGGCACTGCTCAACTCTGCCTTCTTCCTCCTCTCTGTCCTAACCTCCTCTACCTTTAAAGGGATGGTGCTGCATGTTTGTGTTAATATCATCCCTGCCTCATTCCCATTGAGCCAGGTAGAATTTCCTTAAAGGAAACGCCAGGGTCTGGAGTGGCTTTGAGACCAGCTGGGAATGTACTGAATGGCCTTGTGGATGGATATGAAGGCTAGTTTCCTTTCATGTCAGGCTAAGGAGAGTGGAAGGAAGTCCCTTGGGGAGTACCCTGGAATTAGTGGTGTGCTGGTGAATAACTAACAGTCAGCTCTTGGGGCAGGGGTTGGAGAGGAGGGTTCAGCCCTGATTTGCACCATTCACCAATTTCCTTGCTGTAAGTGCTCCCACCGTGGCCAATTTCAAGGCACCCAGACGTCAACCAGCTTGCAAAATTCCCGAAAACTTCAACCATCAGTTTTCACAGGCCGTTCCATGAGGCCATTTAACAGCCATGTCCTGCCCTGCTTCACCCAGATTCTGCCCCTGTTCCTACTCTTTAGACTTTACTGCCCCTAAAGTGGATTTCAAATTACCCCATATCCCTGTAGAGCCTCTGACCTTGTGAACAGTGACTGGTCCTATTTGAATTCCAGGTCTTTGGAAATGGCTAGCCAAAGAAACCTGTTTGGAAGTAAACATTCATCCTCCAAACCTGAAAGAAATGCAGACTTTGCTGGATCGGCCCCCATGAGACACTTAACTTTGAGCCATCCTCCTTCTCAAAGCAGCTCTGGTCTCTCCCACCCTCTAACAGTCTCTCAGGGTCTCTCAGGAGATCTGCAAATGGCCGATTTTGATTTAATTTTTATTCTGAGCATTCATCTTTATCCCATCAGGGCCTTCCACTACCTTTCCCCAATCAGGCAGAGGAGTACCTCCCTCACGCTTCTCTGCTCCACGGGCTCATCTTAGTAGAGGCCTCTGGATACCTTCAAGGACACCAGACAATTTACTTAGTGGGCACAGCCGAGTTGACATTTTCCCCTCGGATGAGCTTTGTGGTTGTGCTTGCATCAGGACTAGAGTACATTCTACAACTCCCATGTTCCGTCATAACCCCCTCATTCAGATGCTGAGGGGGAAATCTCACGTCTCCCCCATTTCCCCTGCTTACCAAACCATGCTTACACATGCAACAGCATGCTTCCACATGCAACGTCTTTCAGGTAGTCTTCATGCAACAAACTACAAGGTCCCTTCACCGTGCTGGACAGCTGTCCTCCAAATGTCCCTCCAGGTACTTGTTTAATCCGAGGGGAAACAGAGTCCTAACCCCCTCACTCTGTGCACTGGGCTTTCATTAGTGCATCCTCAGATAGCATTACTTCATGTTGGGATTTGCTTGTTCCTTGTTCACAGACACATTACACCTGGGCTATATCGAGCTAGCCACCAGCTAATGCATTGATACTAAGCCTGTATCCCCTGTTCTGCACATACACTATTGATTATGTCTTATTTTTAGAAATGTTCAATTTAAACTTATCAGATGAAAAATAATCTTATTAGGCTTACCCTATCGTCCAAATCTGTAAAGACCTTTTGGGTCCAAGTTTCTCATCATCCGCAAATTTGTTGAACATTTCCTTAGATAGCCTTTCCGTCACCAAGAAAAATATTTAAAAAAGAAAGAAAGAAAGAAAGAAAGAAAGAAAGAAAGAAAGAAAGGAAGAAAGAAAGGAAGAAAGAAAGAAAGAAAAATAAAAAGAAAAGAAAACCAAAAGAAAGCATGTAGCCTTTGCCTAGAAACTTCCCAGATGCTGACATACGTCCTTTAATTATCGTCAGTGAGGTATAGTTCACTGTCCAAGCGATTGTCCACCGGACCACATACAGTGCGAGATGCGTTGCCTGGGAGAATTACACTGTAATTTCCTCATCTGCCAGTTTAATGATCTTGCCAAATTTTCCAAGCTGCCTGCACTGCTCTCGGCAAGCCCAGAGTGTTGCGCAGTGCCTAGTATGTGGCAGGGACTCTGGAAAGCACCTGCAAACATGCCCATTGGAGGGGACCGATGAGAGAACCAGGGTGACTGGGACCACCGTCTTCACTGTATATCCTCTCTCTGTGGCGGGAAGTCTAATGCAAGGCCAGATCAGGGTGACGAGGACCACCGTCTTCACTGCGTATGTCCTCTTTCTGCGGCGGGAAGTCTAGTGCAATATTACCTCACTCTTCGTCCATGTAGCACCTCTTTAAAGACCACCAATCCTAAATGCATACTGATGAGAAAACAGGAGCTTAGGCAATTTAAGGGATTTGTCTGAGGTCAAAGGTTAATAAAGAGACAAGCAATTGTCTGCTGGCTTCGAGGCACCATGCGTTATACCAAGCCCCCTCTGCAACCAGTTTGCACGTGTATCCCATAGTGGCAGAGATGTTTTCTTTTGACAAAATTGATACAGTATAGTAAAACATATTTTTTACAGTGTCTCATTTATCCTCTGTCATTCATTAATCCCTTGATTCAACATTCATCTAATACTAGTGATGGAATCCAACTGCTATGAGCCCTCCTTGAGTTTTAGATAGGGTGGGGAGAAAACAATCAAATGTACATATAGCTTATGGTCACGGTGAGGAACAGACAGGAAGAATAAAGCAAGGGGAGTGGGGAGAGGGGCCGAGTTTTTCTTTAAAGGTTGGCACCTGGGGGTATACACATAGCAATTATATGCTGTGTTCACAAAACCCTTTTTCTTCTATAAAGCAGGGACATGGGTCCTATTAGGAACAGCCAACCTGTGATTCTGAATATTCATTCATTTATTCATTGACTCTTTTTCTTGACAATTTTTTTTCAAACCTCAGTCATTTTTATTTAAATATGGTCAGTTGAGTGCAGTTGGTAGTGATTAGGGCAATAGAGTCAGAGCCAAACGTGTGCTCTGTCCAAGAACAATGTGACTAGGGCTCTCATGGTGTCAGGGCTAGGTGGATGGAGGAGAACCTCAGATATGTTGACACGTCACCATCTTAGGGGTCTATTTTAACTAAGAGAACACAATAGAATTAAATTCGGTTATAATGCTTTTCAAATTTTTAGATATATTGGACCATTTCTTTAAATGAAATTTAGTCAGAAAATTCAATGTGTTATATTAAAAGGAATTGGTATAGTTAGTGTAGAATTGTCAGCCTTGGGACACCTTCAAAACCCTGTGATCCACTGTGAAAACCACTCCTCCAAAGTCATTGCTATGACCAAGCGCGGATGTCTGTCCACTGCCCATAAATGCTCATCTTCAAGTGGCCATATTTGGAGGGCCATTCATGCAGCCATCCAAACTCCTGGAAGGTCACCTCTTGGCTTGTATTAAAAGGAATAAATAAAACTGCTCAAATGAAAAAATATTCAGCCTCTTTTTCCTGCTTTTTAACGTTATCTTATCAAACTCATGGCTGTTCAGAAGACCCATAGACAGGAGCTGGAGAGGTGGCTCGGTTGTTAATAGCACTTGACACTCTGGCGAAGGACTTGAGTTCAGTTCCCAGTACCCACATGGGGCCTCACGACCATCTTTAACTCCAGTTTCAGGAGACCCACTGCCATTGTCTGAACTTCAAGAGCACCAGACATGCATGTGGTACACAAACATACATGAACTCATATACAAAACCACTCAAACACAAAAGATTCATCAATATAATTTAAATAGTTTATTGCATTGTAGTTTTGGGTTTTTTGTTTGTTTGTTTGTTTTCACCTCCCGGCAACGATAACAACATTTACAGTAAGAACTAGTTCTCAGGTCAAGACCCAGAAGCTACACCTGTAATCCCAGTGTTTGGGAAGTGGAAACAGGTAGCTTATACATTCAGGATGAGCTCAGCAGCAGGTCAAGTTTTAAAGCAACCTGGGCTACAAGAGACCCTGTCTCAGTGAAATAAAATAAATTTATCTGTTTTCAAAGTGTGTTGGGCATTCATTCCCTGGTTACTAAGTTGTTTTCTAGACCATATTCATTTAAACAAATGAGAAGACTGTGTTACTGCCCGCTGTAGCAGATGCATTGCATAGGTGCAGCTCTCTTGCCCACATTCTCCCTCCCAGGCACAGCACAGCCCAAGGAAGACCTCTCATTCCATCTAAAATGCCTTCTTCTTTCTTCTCTCTGCAGATGACAGCCACTACCCAGCCACCTTCCAAGGCCCAGCCTGTCCACATCTCAGCACCCTCAGCTACCGCCAGCACGCCTGTGCCCAGTGCCCCCATCGATCCCCAGGCCCAGCTGGAGGCTGACAAGCGAGCTGTGTACAGGTAGGGGACTCTCCAGCCGGTCTGGGCTGAGAGATGCAGGTCAGAAGGCACAGAGGGTAGGCTCATCAACAGTGATGGCCAGCAGCGGCTTGCCTGAGCATCCCTCAATTCAGAATCCACTTACCCCGCCCCTAGCTCGCCACTGTGGGTTTGCTTTGCTTGCAGGAAGTATCTGTGGGCGATAGGAAAGGCTGGACAGTGTCAGCCATGAGGACACCCTTACCATCTCAAGTGGGAAGATAGCCCCTAATGAAATCAGAAACCCTCCGTTCAGCTAAGCAAACCCTCTCTTCACCATGTTTCTCGTTGCCTTCACTCCAACAAGCTCACCATGCATCTGATTGCACCGTCTACAACTTGGTAGCAAGCAAACTGTGTGTATGCAAATAGGGAGAGCTTATTAAAACACACAGTTTCTCCGCTACAAGTCCAGACAGGTTGAATCAGTTGGTCAGTCAACAAAAAGAGGGATCTGAGTTGTCTTTGTCAGCATTGAACTTGATGCAGCTAGCTGTCCCTTGGACTGACTCAGATCCATGCTGCCTTGCAATAGACGTTGTATGTGACTGTGGGGTCCTGGCCCTTCCCCAGAGTGAGAGCTTGCTGAGAGCAGGTAGCTTGTTCCTCTCATTCTGCTTGCACCATGTACCCAGGGCAGCATCCTGAATGAGAAGATAGTGAAGCTCAGGGAAATACCCACTTGCCTTCATGAACTCTAGTTCTAGTGTGTGTGGTTGGAGAAGAAGGTACAGTTATGTAAAAACAGACCTGAATGAGATTTTCATTGTCATTTGTTCATGAGGTTCCCACGGTACAAAGGGAAGATGACCAAGACTGCACTTGGTGTTGAGGCTGGGCTCTGGCTTGCACTCACCTCTGCAAGTTCACATGTTCCCATGCACCAGCAAGTGCAACTTACCCTGGCAGGATACATCACAGCTAATACAAGTAACCCGGGGAATGATGCACCCCAGACAGGCAAACAGGAAGACAAGTGAATAGGAAGAGTGATTCCTTTCTTTCCCTACACCCCAAAGACAATGCCTTTATGATAATGGTGGCAATTAGTGATGTTATTATCATTATAGCAGCATTATTTTTAGTTGCTCAGATAAGCTGATTGCCTCTAATGCCAACACCTAAGTCTTGCAGAAAAAGAAAACAGTACCTGGTCCCTGCCTGTGCAATGCACAAGCCAGGCCCACTGCCTGTGGATTCAGAGCTCTGCCCAGGGAATTCTGAAATCTGTTCATAGTAACTGGTGTTGGTAGCTCTCGGGGAGGACAAAGGGGCCTCCCTTGGTGTCCTCTCTCCCTCCCTCCCTCATATTCTCCTACTGAATCATTGCTATTAATATTGCAGGCACTATGCTGGACTCCTGGGAAAGAGGGTGAGGTAGGAAGGTAAACACAAGTGTGCTTGTCACCCCAGGACCCAATAGATATGCAAATAAGAAGGCACCACTGTGTACTCAGAGCAACTGGGCAGATTTCCTTTGGGAGGCAGTGTTTGTGGCTGGTCTTATTGGCGGAGCAAGAAACTCTACCAGCTGGAGAAAAGTGTAGGCTAGCCCTTTCAGGCTAAACGGAACTTGCTGTTACAGGGTCAGGATCAGCCCACGGCAAGAGCAGCTGCAGGTGGAAAGAGGGCTTTCACAGCTGCCTGTCCGTGAGCCTGGGTAACTCTTGTGTGCCTTCGTGAGCGTGAGCATCTTGAGAAGGAAGAGGAAGTAAATGACCTCTGAAAGCCACCCAGTGGCCCAATGGCTCAGGCTTACACTCGTAGTACTCTATTTAGATTGCTGCTCCAGATGTGGTCTGTGGGCCAGCAGCAGCGTATTAAATAAGTGAGAACTGATTAGAAAGGCCATGTCTCAGGGTCCCCCCGAACCTCCAGATTCAACATGGTCTTGGGGGATTCATATGCTCGTGAGAGACTCATCCTGTGCCTTTTCGCAGAACCATACAGAGTGGGTATGTAGTAAGCATGGATCATAGAGGGTGTCTCTGATTAAGAGGATCTTTGCAGGCTGGAGAGATGGCTCAGGGGTCAGAGACCCTGGTTGCTTTTCCAGAAGACTCATTGATTCTCAGTACCCACATGGCAGCTCACAAAAGTCTGTAACTCCAGTTCCAGGAGGTCCAATGCCTTCTTCTGGCTTTGTGGTTCAGGCAAAGCATTAATATACTTAAAATAATAATTTTTTAAAAAATAGGTGCTCTTTGGGAGAAACCATCAGCGAGGCCAAGGTGGGGTGCTGAGAAGACAGTGCACACATAAACATAAAGCCCCCCACCCCCACCCCACTGGTCTCCTGCTCGTTCTCATTGTTGCCCCTAGGCCACAAACACAATTACCATTGTGCATCCAGTCATGCTATCTGCTAGGCATAAAAAGTTTCTGGAAGCTCAGGCTTGTGCTCCTACCACTCACTGAGCTTCAGGTCCATGAGAGACTCAAGCAGCATATTTAATAAGAGTTAATGAGGCAACCATGTAAGCACCTGGCACCGTGGTTGGCGTAAAGCAAAACTGTGCTTCACAAGCCCATCACATCCACAGGCTCCAAGTCCTTCCCAAGGTTCCAGACTCACGCTGCACCCAAGCCAAACTGCAGGAGAGGTGACCCACTGCTCCCCAAGACCTGTTCACCGTGTCCCTTGAAGTAGGTGCAGAACTTCCTTCAGTTAGCACTTTTTCCTGCTCATTCTTTTTCTTCCCTTGGGCTAACCCAACAAAAGCCCTGAGCATTTGCCCAAGGTAGGCTGTGGCCTTCTGGCCCAGGAGAGGCACTCCTAGGCAAACATGCCTGGATAGGTTGGAGCTAACACCTATTCTATTGCCCAGCTCCCCAGCTCTCCAGCCCTATTGCTCGAGGCCCAGAGCCCCAGAGTGGCTCCTGCATTCACACCTCTTCTACCAGTACCAGTAGCCCTCTCAGCAGCCATTGCTTGGATGCCCAGGCTCCTGTAGGGTCGGTAATTTTAATTAGATTTGCCTGCCCGGGGCAGTTTGGTTGTTCCAAACACATCAAGGAGTCCACATTTTATATCAATAAATATAATAAGACCCTTCCCATTCAGATTAGTGCTACTTTTTTGGAAGTCTTCCCTGTGGCCCCTTCTAGGACTATAGATGGAGGAAGATAGGGGAGGCTGCCCACCCCCCACCGATACAGCCCCTGCTGACAGGCAGAGGGGCAGTGTGACAAAGGGAAGGGAGCCTGCCAGTGCCCCCAAGGTTTTATTTGTGTAAAAGGATGTGTTAATGAAATGTATTGGTTCCCTTCTGATCTGGGGGCTGGGGGAGGGGTCTAGCAGAACTTGTCTTTAATTGGATCATACCAGAGCATCATCTGGGCTAATCAGCAAGGCAACCAGGAGCTCCGGCTCAGATTAATGATTTCAGTCTAATCCAAGCAGATCCCATGATTGGATACACATCCCGGGTAATTGTGTTTGTGGCCCAGGAGCAATGATGAGAGGGAACAGGAAGAGGGGAGGCTTGTGGAGTAGGAGGCTTTAAGTTTGGATGGTCCTCGGTTTTCTCAGCCCCCACCGCAACGCTGATGTTTCCTTCTTCCAGTGAAGTTCAAATGTAACTTGGACTGCAGCACCCCACCTGCCGCGCGGCTGAACGGTGGTCAGGTGTCGGGTGCAGCTTGAGACGGAGGGATTAGGAGGCAGAGCAGAGACGGGGCCAAGAGGGTGAGGTTAATCCAGCTTTCACTCCCCCTCCTCCCCTCCAGTCTCCTTCGCTCCCCTTTGAAGTGTGTGGGTTCCCATGGAAACCGCGATGTCCTGGGGAGCAGAAGAGTGGCAGGGAGCTAGGCTGGCCAGGTGCGAGGGTGGGGGAGGAGGGCGACTTTGCCGAGCATGCTCAGCTAAAGTCTGGGCTGCCTCACCTTTGGCGGGAGAACCCTCAGAGCTGTGACCCACGGGCAGCGCTGAAGTTACCTGTGATAAAGACGTGTGGGCCGGGGGCCGGGATGGGAAGAAAAGAGTAAAACGATTGTGCTTCGCTTCCCCGTGGAAAAGCACTAGAGGGTCAGCTGCAGGATCAGCCAGAGAGGGTGACTCCTCTTCTCTGCCCCGTGTTCCTTTGTGCCATTACAATTAAATTAATTGGATTAACTTCTGGGATTAACATTCCCGTGCCCTCCACTCGCTAGACTGTTAACTCCATGAGGACAGGGTTGGGTCCCTGTCAATCTTGCTCATTGCTCTGTCCCCAACACTTCACACAAACCATCCTTAGCAATTTAGGCAAAGAGGGTGTTATAATACTTGTTGAGGGCACTAATTAAAAAGGTTAGACAGTGCCCCATAAATACATCATGCCCTAGGTTGATGTGCTGGCAAGTGGCTGGGGCGAGGAGAGTCTAGTAGTAGTAGCATTTGCCAATTTCTGTTGTGTAAATGCTCCTTCCATGACCCACTCAAAAGGGCTACTGAAGGGTGGAAAGAGATCCACAGGACTCAGTCTCTCCAGGGTGAAGTACAATCCCCACACGAGGAGCCAGATCACAGATGCACAGTCCCTACTTACAAACGGGAACAGGAAATAATCCTCCATGCAGATTCCGTGGAGTAGCCTTCAAAGGCCTTGATCCTGTCTTGGTTCTGTCCTCTCGGGTCTAACATGGAAATTTTAGTTTGCAGTGTTTTGTCTTTAATGACTTAATGCTTCAAAAAGTGCTGAGGGTGGAGTAAGCGCCCGCCGTCTAAGTGCGTAAGTCCATGGTGCTCCAACTGAACCCCGAGGCAGAGAGTTTTCTCCTTTGGGGACTCTATACAATGCTTTTCAGTGCGCTTGAGCCAGCCACCTCTCAGCATCCACCCTTGCCCAAGAGCCTTTGCGGGCTTCCCAGGGAGCGAACTCACGGCAGCTCCAGAAGCCCTGCCTTCAACCATTCTTTTCCTCTCCTCTTTCTTTTCTCCTGTCTTAGAATCTTGGCTTTTGCATACAACATACATGACTCTTCAGATCAGTTCTGGATCC